GTATTAGCATCATTAAAAATTCATCTTTGCTGCATTACATTTATTTTGGTCCAAGTAGTTAAGGATTTTTTTTAATTTCAAAAAACAGAAGTAAATGTTTTTTTAATATTACTTTATCTCTTTTGATTAATGGTGATACTGCACTAACTGATGAAACACATTGACAGATGTAAGGCCAGTATAAAAGTCGCAAGATCTATTATTTTTAAAATAAATGTTTGTATACAAGTAAATTGCAATAACACGATTTGTTTGGATTATGTTTATATACAAGTTTGTCTGTTTTCATAGTAATAACTGATGTGGTTGAAGTTAATTTTTCAAATAAATCTTTATTTTTTTATTTCGTGCTGAAGTTCTTTTTTAAAGTTATCAATTTCCTTTTTTAATTCTTGATGCTCTATTAAAAAACAACGCTTAGCATTAAATTCAACATAATTTAATGGATCATTTTTTGAAAAAGCTGTATTATATTTACATTTAATAATATCAGTCTTTGAGCATTGTAGCCCAAGTTAAACGAAAAATATCGATTTTTAAACGATAATGTTCTTTCAGGAAAATCGTCTGAACATGTTTTCGATCTCTTGAAAATTCTATATGATATAAGTTCAGTATTTACATTTTTTTTCCATTATAAATCTCTATAACTTTAATCGTTGAAATAATGTTTACGATTTTACTTCCATTTCTGCGCGCGCATAAATTTTATATCGTATTTTTTGTCAACAATGATTGAAATAATGACGTTAAAATAACGTTAAATAATCAACGTTTAAACTGTAACGTTGATTTAACGTTGAAATAACGTTAAATAATCAACGTTTAAACGGTAACGTTGATTTAACGTTGTGACATAGTTGAACAACGTTGAATCAACGCTTCAACCGAATTTCAACGTTGAAACAACGTAATAATGCCGGCTGGGGAGACTACTTGATATATTATATAAATATAAAATATATATTATATATGTTTATATATTTATATAATATATATAAATATATATATATATATATATATATATATATATATATATATATATATAAATATATAATATAAATATATATATATATATATATATATATATATATATATATTTTATATATATATTATATATATATATATATATATATATACATATATATATACTATATATATTTATATTATGTATGTATATATACATATATAGTGTGTGTATATATTATATATGCATATTATATATATGTATATATATATATATATATATATATATATATATATATATATATATATATATTATATGTATACACACACACACATATATATATATATATTTATATATATATATATATATATATATATATATATATATATTATATGTATACACACACACACACATATATATATATGTATATATATATATATATATATATATATATATATATATATATATATATATATATATATATATATATATATATATATATATATATATATATATATATATATATATATATATATATATATATTAGGGTGATTCAGATTGTAATAGAAAAAAAAAATGTCACAAAAAACATTCTCCTCAAGGTTGCCTGAGTTCCTTTATCACCTAGGATCATGTGTACCAAAAATTAGACTAAAAGAAGCAATTTTAGGGGTTGCCATGTTTTATAAGATGAATTAACCATTGGTAAAATTTTGTGATTTTCTCAAATTTCGCAAATTTGTTTTTTCATTGTTTATTTATTTATAATTTAGAAATTGATAATATGGCAACCACTAGATCTTCTGCTGAGGTGTGGCTTGTTGGTAAACCTACACAAACTCTGTCGACTGCCAGACTTCCTTCAAAAGGGGATGTTCTTCGGAGGTTGCTCTTCCATCATATAGAAGAGAAACAAGAAGTGAAAAAAAGTATTCGGGCAACAATTGAAGCAGTTCTTGTTATATGGGAGAGAGGAAAAATTCCAACTCAAAGAATTGACAATGCGGAAAGAAAGTTAAAAAAACTTTATGACGAATATCTGCTGCTGAAAAAACACCGAGGATCAAAATTGGACAGCTGTCAAATGAAAGAAGGAATTTTCCAGGCTGACCTTGAAGAACTTTTTGATATTTCAACCAAGAATGCATCAGAAGTTATGAAAAACGATGAAGATAAAGCATTTTTACGTCAGCAGCAAGAAGATCCATTAAGTTGTAGTATGGCAGGAATTGATCAGAATTTAACAGCTAGGGAGGCACGGAAATGAGTCCGAGAAACTAAAATGGAATTGAGGCGTCAAAGAAGTCAAGCGGAACTGATGGAAAAAACAGAACTCATTTCTTCTTCATCAGCAGTTGACATTGTGAGTGAAAGTAGCTCTAGTTCCTCGGATGATGATGAATATCAGACTCCTTCCGCTTCCAGCACACTGAGCACAAGTAATTCAACGAAAAAGAAGATGAAAGAACAAATAATGTTGTATCATCTCTTGATCGTGTTAATATTTTTGATCGCCGTGCACTCTTCGTGGTTGGAACAGTGTCTCAGGCTCTTGGTCACTCGGTAAAAGATTTATCATTGTCGTACAGCACAATCCGCAGAAAAAGGCGATCTGTTCGTGAAGCGGTGACTACAGCTGACAAGGTTGATTTCTCTCCTGATGATCCACTTCTTCTGCATTGGGATGGAAAGCTCTTACCTGATATCACTGGTGGTCAAAAAAAAGTGGATAGAATTGCCATCCTTGTGACTGGTGGTGGGGTGGAAAAATTGCTGGGCGTTCCAAAGATTGATCGAGGTACAGGTGAGCAACAGGCTGATGCTTGCATGAAGGCTCTTAAAGACTGGAAATTGAAAGAACTTGTTCGGGGACTGGTTTTTGACACTACTTCATCTAACACTGGGTTGAACATTGGTGCCTGCACAATAATGGAGCAGAATCTTGACCGTAATCTTATATGGATAGCATGCAGGCACCATATGTTTGAAGTCATGCTTTCCACCATTTTCACGACTGCATTTGGAACCAGTGGAGGACCTGAAGTTGGAATTTTTAACCGTTTCCAGAAACAATGGCCAGCAATCAACAAGGAGGTGTTCACTATAGGGAATAAAGAATTTTACATCTGCGATTTTTTTCTCAAACTCCGTGAAGAAATGGTAGTATATTATAGTGAAGCAATTAAAGGTCAACAACCCAGGGATGATTACTTAGAACTCTTGAATTTGTGCCTTATTTTTCTTGGAGGATCAACTACAACATCGGAGTTCAAAGTGAAGTTTCGGGCTCCAGGTGCAACACACAATGCACGTTGGATGGCAAAAGCTATATATTGTATAAAGATATATTTGTTTCAGGATCAATTTGTTATTACTGCAAAGGAAAAGAAAGGAATAACAGATATAAGTCTTTTTGTGGCATTTGTATACGGACAGTTTTGGAATGAAGCTCCGTTAGCTGAACGAGCACCATTCAATGATGCCAAGCTTCTTCAACGGATTCAAGAATATCCAAATCGTACAATTGCAATTAATGCAGCAAAAGCTTTTCATCGCCACCTCTGGTATTTTTCTGAACATCTAATAGGATTGGCTTTCTTCGATTCCCGTGTCGACAACAACACCAAGAGAGACATGGCAAACAACCTGAAACAACAGCCAAGGCAGAAATCTCTCAAAAGACTTGATGCTGCCACATTCGATTGTCACAGCCCATTGCCTTCCTTCGTCACACAACGCACCGCAGAACTTTTCGATCTAATTTTGAAAAATGGAAAAGAAAAAGCTGAAACATTTTTAATGAAAGAATCTTCAGAGTGGGAAATGGATTCAACATATCTTGAAATGAAGCACAAGGTTGGTCAAATGAAAGTCATCAACGATTGCGCGGAACGAGGCATAGCACTTATAACATCCTTTAACTCAAGCGTTACGTAAGATGAAAACCAAAAGCAGTTTCTTCTTAGATTGGTTGATCTTCACCGGAAGGAATTTCCAGTTGCATCAAAGTCTACCCTGATGAAGATGACTGTTGAATGGTGAAGATGATTGATTTATTATTGCCTAGTGCAATTACATAGTAGTACTATAGTATTGATTTTTTTAACATTGAACATCCACAATCCACCACATAATAATAAGAAATTGATAATAAATAATTCAGTAATATAATATAAAAAATGTAAAAATAAAAAATATTTTTTTTACTTTTTGTAACCTTATACCAAAATGTGACAAAACATGGCAACCCCTAAATATCATCCGATTTGATTCAAATTTTGGCCAATAACTACTATTGTCATATAGAACAAGGGCAAGCTTGAGGACAACTAAAGTTTTGAACCTACAAATTTTGCATCACCCTAATATATATATATATATATATATATATATATATATATATATATATATATATATATATATATATATATATATATATATATATATATATATATATATATATATATATATATATATATATATATAAGGCCGCGGCAGTGGGGGTGGGGGTGGGGTGCCAACCCCCATCAATGATTTTTTTGTTCATTTAGTCAGCAAATTTGGCCCTTTAAACAAGTTAGTCGGTAAATTCAATCAGCTTGATTGTCGTCAAGGCAGATAGCAAATTTTAAAAAATCAAAGACCTTTTTTTTTTAAAATTGGCAAAAGTTGTTATGGTACCCCCCTCCCGCGTGACACCTACTCGCGCCGGCCCTATATATATATATATATATATATATATATATATATATATATATATATATATATATATATATATATATATATATATATATATGCTTAAATCCGAATTCCTATGAACAACCTATGCCTGTCTTATAACATTGTTTAGCTTACCATCAAATAGGAAAACATCGCATAAAATCAAATAAGAATACGTAGACAACATTTGGTCGCTTGTTTTATTTATTTGTTGTTTTTCTTTACATCATTTGAACAAAAAAATTTAATTAAAAAAATCTAAAATTTTTAAAAAAAATAAAATAAGTAATTTAAATGTTTTTCTGACGTTTACACAAAAATACTGATATTAAAACACATTCTAGAATATATTATTAAAATGGCTACAATCTTTTAATTTGGTTTTGTCTGATATAATCCATCGAACAAACAAGCATTTGATTTCTCGTTAAACTTCAAACCGGCTGGACATATAACACATCCTTGAGTAACACCTTTCCAACAACCGATATATTGATATGGATTTCCCGCACCTCCATTTGAAACGTTATCTGCAATGTTTCCTGAAAAGTTAGGTCCTTTGTTAGGGCAAGCATCTGGACATGGATAAGTAGATTGAGGTTTCCATGTCTTTGTAGTGTAACAAGAATCTGAAATAAAATTGCAAAGCGTTCTGAGATTCAAATATAACAGTAGAAGTATGAAAAATTGTGAAAAAACATATTCAACTTTTAATGTGTTATTACGCCTGCTTTGTATATTCAAACTATTTTATTATTTAACAAATCATAATACCTTTTTGTTTGTATAAACATTGGTTGCAAGTTTGACTAAAAAATAAACTTTGAGGCCAGCACGATTGGCAAGTTGCGATTCCATTTGAACATTGGACAAAATCGTGTGGATATCCAACAATCTCATAGTTTCCGTTTGACTTACCAATGCAAAGACTTTTTGAACCTGTATAAATATTTTTCAACAGTTATAAAGATTTATATATACATTATACAAAAACTCAATATATATATATATATATATATATATATATATATATATATATATATATATATATATATATATATATATATATATATATATATATATGTTAAAATTATTTTTTCAAAAATGAGAATAAAAATTGTAATAAAGTTACATGGTGGCGCAACGGGTGTAGGTCCATTTTTTGATATAATAGCTTCCGAACTGTTTTCCGCATCAACAGGCGCTTTTGAGCTACTTTGAGCATCAACAGGTACTTCTGAACTGCTTTGAACATCTACAAGTGCATTTGAGCTGCTTTGAACATCAGCAGGTGTTTCTGAAATTGCTATAGTGATGCTATCAGTTATAACAATTTCATTTGAAGTTGTTTTAGCTGATTTACTTGTTGAATCAATTGATGCGGTTGTTATTTCATCTGCTCCTGGTATTGGTTCAGTCACAGCATCCGTTGTTGTTTCTTGAATATCAAGTGCATTTGTTGTTGTTGGAAAAAGATTTTGTGCTGAAACTTTAATGGTTGAATGGTAGGGCAAATTATATTTAGAATGATAACAGATAGTAAGATACAATAAAATGTTCCCAGTTATATAAAATATAAATAATAAAAATCGATAACAATTTTTTTATAATTACAAAAATCTATAAATAATTATCACAAATAGTTAATACAAAAAAAAGTATACCTGAACAGAAAACCAATGCAAGTAATATAAGAGTCATTATATATAGTATAAAAAACAGTTTTGTTTTATGTTCTTCTTAACAGTTTGTTTTCAACTTTAAAAGTTTTATTAGTTTTCAATAATGGGAAATTTTTATACAGGTCGTTATATAACAACTAATTGACTTTTTGGCGACCAAATAAATGTCAAGTAAAAAAAATAAAGACAGTGTAATTGAACTCAAATTGCAAATGCTTCAGGATGAATTACTAAGTAATCACGCAAACGTAAAACAAATTAAAATAATTAAATAGAAGACATTTTCTTTGTGGCACTTATTGTCTATAATTATTTGGTTCCATCAAAATGAAGTACTTGAGTTATTTCATATTTTTTAATTTGAACATTAAACAACAACATCCCGTCTATTGCTTAAATATTTTAGACATGATTAATTTGGGTTCAGAAAATTATAACGTTGCACTATGCGTCACTAAGCGGAAATATGATTTTACTTACATTTTTTAGAGATTTTTTCAATTATAACTTTTTTAGTCTTTTTTTACGGGTTTAATTCCGAATATAAAAAATATTTTTTAAGACTTTTTTTCTGTAAAAGGGAAAATTTTAGGGTAAAAAAAACATGTTTTTGAAAAATTTATGATAAAAATCAAACTTTTGCACTATACTTATATATTATCTAGTTAATAATATATTAAATTAATTTAAACTCAAAAACGGTTAAAAAAAAAGCTTTTTTTTTTTATTGGTTTATTCTTGTTTATTTCAGTCCGAAAAAGATTAATGGACTGAATCATGTTACTACAAAGGTAGCCAGTTTTTTATTTAATACAAATTTTATACAACATCCACTGTTTACCTCTGTAGTAAGATACGTTCAAGTAATAATTCATTTTTAAGGGTGTGAACTGTATACAGAACCGACTCTCTTAAAACTAATTAATTTATGGTTATACAAAACGTTGCGTTAAATCGAAATAAATTTTGATTGTTACTTTGTGTCAAGCGAGGAAGATTGTCAATCAGCGAGTTTTATGGGTACAAACGTAAATTCAAATAATGTAAATGCGAACTGGCGTAAGCGCAAATATAAATGTCTTCGTGTCCGCTTCGTATATATATATATATACATATATATATATATATATATATATATATATATATATATATATATATATATATATATATATATATATATATATATATATATATATATATATATATATATATATATATATATACATATATATATATATATATATATATATATATATATATATATTTATATTTATATATATATATATATATATATATATATATATATATATATATATATATATATATATATATATATATATATATATATATATATATATATATATATATATATATATATATATCAATTTATATATATAATTTCAATTTCTTGGAATACTAAAAAGATTTTAGCAGAAAATTTCTAGTTTCAAAATTTTTTTACAAAAATCAATCGCTTAACGCCTTGATTTTTTTATGGTCTTGACAGTGTGCAATTAAGTTATTCGTTTTATAATACTCTGTTTATACTTTTATCTTTTTAACTTAGTTTTTAGCAAACTTTTCAACTTTGATTTGTTTAATGCAACTTAAGGACGAAAAAATTATCAATGTTTATTAAATTGAAGTCATAGTATTTAACTAGTCTCAAAACGCAGGCCGTTATCTGAAAAAACTAACGTTCGTTTGACCCCTAACTTTTAATAATACTTTAGAGTGCATAAATTATAATCATCATATTTTGCTTTAAATTTAGTAATGTATACTAATTCATTAGTTGTATATATAGCTTAGTTGTATATAAAATTAGGCGTGGCAGAAACCCATGCATTTTGGTTAAGTTTCAGAACCAAAACCAAGACGTCTTTTAAACGTATTTTTAACGTTTTGAACATCTTTTGAACATTTTTTGGACGTCTTTTGAACGTTTAAAAGACGTCTTATTTAGGTCCTGTGTCCACTGGAAAGGTTCGAGGTTCAATGCTAAATAACATTAAAAAAAATACTATAAAAAGAAAAAAGGTTGCTCTGAGATAAATATTGAAATTAAATTTTCCTGTCTTTGGTTTTTCGTTTACATGAAAACATGTTAGACTATTATTAGTTTGTATTCTAACAAAAGAAAACGAATAAAAAAGAGTGGGATATTGGCAAACAGCTAAGCAGAAATGCAAATTAAAGACACCAGTTATACGAAGTTAATAACATTTATAGCTTATCATTTAGTCAAGTAAATTTTCATAATAACTATTCATTCACAAACCCTTGAAAAGCAATTTTTATAAATCTTATTATAAAATAAAAATTTAGGGCAAAAATAAAACTAATGGTGTTCAGAACTACCCAACGTACGTGGGTTAATTCCGAACACAACGCAAGGTAATCACAAACACTGTTGTGTAATTAAGAAAAAAATGCTAATTGTACACTGCGCGACATAATGTTAAGACACCCCAAAAATAGTTATAAAACTCTATATACATTTACATTTAAAAACTAATTTTTATTGTAAATAAAAGCAAAGGGTTTCCAACACTAAACAACATTTAGGGCCATCCATAAAGGACGTCATCCAAATAGGAGGGGGTGGGGGGTGGGAGGAGGTTAATATGTGTTTTTAAGATGATAATGTATGAGAATATTTTTAATTTTATTTTTCAAAGGTGTAGCAACAGATTCAAACATCATTGCAAGATGAAATAATTTTTTGGGGCGTTAAAATAGGAGGGGGGGAGGTCAGGATTTTATGACGTCCTTTTTAAGGGGGATATAGAGAAAAAGGACAACCGGTGACAAAGGTAGGGGGGGAGGAGAATCAAAAATTGGCTAAAAAATGGTGACGTCCTTTAAGGATGGCCTTTTTTAACAAATTTATTTTAAACGTAACTCGCATTTTATAACAAAAAAACGTTTTTTCAGTGTGAAAAAATTAAAAGACAATTTTACAAAAAACGTTTTATTTACAAACCGCAGTTGTGGGCAATTACAAATATTTATTTGCTGTAAACACCACAGACGGTTATTTAACTGTAAACTTTTATGAACTGTTAAAAATTTAATTTAGGTTTTCCTTTATTAAGTATAAAATAACAAGTAAATAAATAATCGTGCTGCACCGTTTAGTGCAGATGAGAAAAAAGTGCTCTTTGACTTATCGAAAACGGGTCACTCTGTTAGTAAGATAGCTAGAGAAATTGGACGCAGCCGAACTGCGATTAAAAACTACGTTAATAGTCCTTATATGTATGGAATAAAAAAAAGTCCCGGACGTCCACCAACATTAAGTGATCGTGATAGACAAAGGTTTTTAAGACAAGCTTCAAATTTTTCATTAATTGCACGTCAAATTGCTGCAGAAACAGGTATGATTGCAAATTTACATACAGTTTAGCGAGTTATTCGTAATGCTTTTTAACTTTCGCACAAACCACATTTGGCAAAAAATGGAAAAAAGAGTGGCAACGAGTATTATTTTCTGAAGAAAAATAATTTTGTCTTGATGAACCGGATAGATGGAATTATTATTTTCACGATTTGCGTGAAAAACCAGTAATGCAGAAACGACGTCAAATGGGTGGTGGTCGTGTAATGGTTCGGTGTGCGATTGGATATCATGATAAATCAAAAATTAATTTTGTTCACGGAAAAATGAAGGTTAAGGATTACCTTTTAATTGTAAAAAATTTTTTACGACGTGAAGCATCTGTTATAGGTGGTGAAAATTTTGTTTTTGAGCAAGATAATGCCAACGTTCATACAGCTAAGATAGTAAAGGATTATTTCTACATCAGTAAAATTGAAACATTGAAGTGGTCAGTTAGATCTCCAGACCTGAATATTATTAAAAATACTTGGGCACAGCTGTCACTTATAGAGAAGTTATATTGTTTAAACATAAAGTAAGTTATATAGTTCACTAGCTGACTTGAAATCATGCATCGCATCTGCATGGGTTGCAATTGACATTTCGTACATAAAAAAGTTGTATGATTCTTTACCTTCTAAAATGATTAAAGTGATTCAAAAAAATGGTAAAAGAACCCACATTGATTTTTTAAAATTAAAATATCTTTTTTTATAAAAGACAATTTATGTGAATTTTTTCCAAAAGTATTTTATAATTTTGTCGCATTAATAAACAGTTTTTTTTTTAATAAAATGTGAGTTACGTTTAAAATAAATTTTTTAAAATGTTGTTTAATCTTGTAAACTCTTACCTCTCATTTACTATAAAAGTTATTTTTTAAATGTATAGTAGAATTTATATATATATAATATATATATATATATATATATATATATATATATATATATATATATATATATATATATATATATATATATATATATATATGTATATATATATGTATATATATATATATATATATGTGTGTGTGTGTGTGTGTGTATAGATTTCGGGCATGAAACTTTAAGTCCCGCTAATCAGTTGTTTTTATTCACCTAAATATAATTATATATATATATATATATATATATATATATATATATATATATATATATATATATATATATATATATATATATATATATATATATATATATATATATATATATATATATGTATACATATATATATAATATTTTTGTTTAAATTGTTAGCTAATAGTGCTTAATAATGAATTTAATATAAAGTTTACTAAGCTGTTTAGAAAATAAATAACATCTTTACTTTATATTAGTATCTTTTATTTTATTTAATAATTATATTTTTAAAATTTTAGATGGTTTAAAAATAGTTATTTGTAGATCAAAACCAACTATAACTTTACCGCAAAAAGGTTTTTTATTTTAAAGTAAAAAAATAGTTATTTTTAACAAAAAAGATTGGAGATCCTAATAAATTTGTATGAGTTCTTTCAAAATAAATAGGTTACAAATGCTTCTTAAACTAAAATTCAAAAAAAGTTGCAACGTTTGCAACGTTTCTTGAACGTAAATTGTTAGCTGGGTTAAAAAACAGAGCTTGTAAGTTTTTCAAAAATCAGCAAATAAGTGTCGTTTTCAGCTGAAACTAAACCAAGGTGAAATCCATTGATATCAACCACTTTATCGTGTAGACACTTTCACAAAGATTGAAACATTTAGAATTTCTTTTAACTGAAACTCTTGTTTTTGCACCCTTTAGTACACTTTGATTTCCGGAGTACCAGACAACTTCGAGAGCTGGTGAAAGAGTGCACTGTTCTGGGTGCAGTTTGCTATCTTTTTTAACTCAGGAGAAATTAGTGGCCACAGTTGATTTTTTTTAAACTAATGCGTGATAATATGCCCTTTTTTATAGGTTACCAATGCACAGTGGGACAGAGTGTGCCAAAATACAAAAAAATCACTATCGGCATTGTATTCTGAAAATATGTCATAATGGTGAAAATATGTTTATTAGAGGTAATATATAGTAAAAAAAACATTAAATATTAATTTAAACGTTATTTTATGCGGTTATATACACGTGAATTTGACATGTGTTTCAAAACACTTTTTCGCATTTTTTAATTATCAACTTTCTTACGCTACTACTGTTTTAAATTAATTTTATTGAGTATGATTTTAAAATATATTATTTGAATTAACTTTGTTTTTTTTGCTCTGACTATTCAAAACAATTAAACGTAAGTGTAATCTTCAGTTTTTATGCATCAGTGACAGGCAGTTTAGGCTTTTTTTTTTGCTACTAACCTTTACTATTAGGTATCAGATAAACCGTCCTCCAATATCCTCCAAACATTTGATTATGTAAATCGGATGCTTAATGTATCTTAACTGCAATTTATCATAAATATTTTGCAACTTTTTGCAAATAATAAAGTTATAAGAAATAACTCATACTCAATTCATAGTATTTATTGCAAAAACACGTTTTTCATAAGTTCTTGAAACTCAAATATTTTTCATGACTTTTAAACTGCAAATTAATTATGCATTTTAAGATTTTTTTTACCAAAGATTTCAATAATTATTTTATTTTTAGTTATATATATGATACTTGTTGATATGGTGTCTTTTTCCTTCCATCCCTCCTCCCCCCCCCCTTCCTTCTCCTCCTTAAAAAAATATTTTTATAACCTTTTCAGTATATCTAATGCTTTTACATATAGTGTATGCACTAATAATATTTTACAGACACTTGTCCGCAAGATGCAATAACTTCAATTTTGTTTTTAGATGAAATATTTTGATCTTTTCAACTCTTTAAAAGATAATAAAATTTCTATTCAAGATACTGAGAAATCACATATTCATTTGCTAGCATTCTTTGAGTTATCCCTTGATCAGAACAATGAAATTGTTTGGAGATCAAAACTTATGAACATTTTAGCACATCTTAAATATCGCTGGAATGTCTGTAAACGCAGAGAATCTTTATTTATTAAGAACAATACTAAATTGCTTGATAATGAAATTAATTTAAATGATTTTGCTGGAGGCAAAATAATCATACCTACAAGTTTTCAATCTACTTCCAGCGCTGGTCGACCAACAATTACTGACTTTCAAGAGTGTTCTTCAAGAACTAAGTATCGACGTGTTAGTAAACTCCAAAAAAGTCACTCGTCAAATAAGCTAATATTTGCTTCAAAAGTTTCATTAAATAAAGAAGGAAAAATAGAAAAAGCTAAAACAATCAACAAAATATATTTAGATAAGAATGTAGATTCTTCGATGCTTTCTGGAAATGAAGCATTGTCGTTGATGCTAGATTCAAATATGACCAAAGCTGCGTTTCAACTCCATAGAAATGCAGCAATTGAAAAAGAATGCAACCTGTATCCTGCATATAACAATATAAAATCATCAAAACTTTTGTACTACCCTAATAACATGATTTTTACTGACTATACTGCAAGTATACCACTGCAAAGTTTATGTGACCATACAGCTCAAAGACTTTGTCAAGTTTAAAATGAGGTTTTATGTATGCTAGAAACGTTTGACCTGGTATCTCTTCATTATAAAGCAGGTTTTGATGGGTCTACTGGTCAAAGCATATATAAACAAAAAATGTCTGTTGAAAGTTTTCGCAACTTGAAAAGAGAAGAATCATTGTTTCTAACTTGCCTGGTTCCACTTCAGATTACAACTTATGTTAGAGAAACCCTAACTGTTATTTGGAGAAATCCAAAACCTTCTTCCACTTTATATTGCCGACCTTTAAGATTTAAATTTGAAAAAGAAACAACTGATTTATTACTTATTGAAGAAGCTACTTTAAAAGATGAGATCTTAAATCATGTAGAAACTTTTGTTCAGTTATCTAATGGCAAGTCTATTTCAGTCAAACATGTCATTCAAGTTACAATGATAGTTGGTAAAGTCCATACTGCTCTATCAAATGTAACAAGCTCTAATCAATGTTGCTGTATATGCGGGTGTTCACCAAAAGACATGAATAATATTGACAAAGTTACGAAACTTCCATACTCACCTGATGAGCATCAATATGGATTATCTACACTTCATGCATGGATAAGATTTTTTGAGTGTCTCATACATATTTCATATACAATGCCAATAAAAAAAATGGCAAGCAAGAGGAGACGTAGAGAAATCTCTTGTTAAAGAGCAAAAAATGAAGATACAAAAAGAATTTCAACACAAAACGGGACTTATTGTTGACTACCTAAAATGTGGAGGATCTGGAAACTCAAATGACGGCAATACTGCTCGAAAAGCTTTTTCAAATGAAGACTTGTTTGCTGATATTACAGGAATAAACAAGGAACTAATTGTAAAGTTGCATATAATCCTAATTTGTATATCAAGTGGATTTCAAATAGATACTAGTAAGTTTTGCTTACTTTGTCTGGAGACCGCAAAACTCTACTCATGCTTGTACCATTGGTATTACATGCCTCAGAGTCTTCACAAGATCTTAATTCATGGAGCAGAAGTAATAGAAAATCTATTATTACCAATAGGTCCATTTAGTGAAGAAGCTCAAGAAGCTAGAAATAAAGAACTTAGAAAATATAGGGAACATCATTCCCGTAAAAATTCAAGAACAAAGACAAACGAAGATGTAATGAAAATACTTTTATGTACATCTGATCCAGTTATTTCATCTTATAGAAAATCTGTTTCATCTGTAAAAAAGAAATTTCCTCCGGGTGTTGTTGAACTTTTTATTTGCGAGAATTCTACGTTCTAGAATATAGATCTAGTTCGTAATTTTTAATGGTAATTAAACTAAAAAATAAACTTTTTTAGCAATATATATGAGCTTGATATTCATTTTATATGGTTTGTATACAGCGCCGGCCTTAGCTTTTTTGACAGGTTGGGCAAAACTTGTGAACGCGCCCCTAGGTATATATGTGTGGGTTGTTACCATTAACAACGAAACCAATGCTCAAAAATGATGAACAAGAGTGCTAAAGGAAATATATAGTTTAATGCAAAGAGATCCATATTGTGCATCAAGTTTCTTATTTAATTAATTTTTTATTAAAATTATAAACTTAGACTTTTCATGATATGGGTTTATAGAAATGAGTGACTAAATAAATAGACAACGCAACACTGCTTTAAAAATAACAAATGTTTTTATTAAACATATAATAAATCCTCTAACTATATAAACAAGAGTTACTAAATTTTAAAATCTAACTTTTCTAGCTTTTTTGTCCGCGAAATCTCTTATCAAACTAGAAAAATCTAAATTTTCAGCTATATCTTGCTCGATTGATAACATAGATAGAGAATTAAGTCGATCTTGCAACATGGTATTTCTTAAATATGTTTTGATTAACTTCAGTTTAGAAAAACTACGTTCTCCACTGCAACAGTAACAGGTATTGTAAGAAGAATGCGCAGAACAATCCATGTATTTGAATATAACTCTTGTAGACAATGTTTTTTAATAAGATTCAGTACAAAAAGTGGTGTCATCTCTTTTGTATTTATTTCATTTTCAACATTGCTTAATTTATCTTTTATAAAAAACTGCACACTTATTAGTTCGTCGCATAGCAAAGCACCATCGATTTCTGATTTTGTATTTACAGTTAATTTTTCTTGTAATTGTTTACACAGTTTTAAAAGTTCATTCTTGATGGGCAAATTATCCAAATTAAATAAAAAACTCCATATATTTACATATTCATTAAGTTGTTGAAATCTTTCATTTATTGACGACAGACATGTATCTAATAAAGGGTTAAAAAATGTCACTTCAAGTTTCTTCTCGGGATTTTGAATTGGTTCGTCAAAAGCATTTTCATCATAATGACGTTTCACTCGTCGCACTCTTTTAAGCGGCTTAAATATTGCATCGATGTTCAACTCTTCAGCAAACTCTTTGGCATCAACCGTTGCTTGTTTAAAGCCAAACGTTCTGTAATTTTCCAAAAATGTGATGCATTTTTTCAACATTTCAGCGCACTGTACTAGATCCATGTCTTTGGCTTGCATTGCTTTACTATCAACGTTTATTTGGAATAGTACATTGTACCATGCAATTAAAGAAACTAAAAAACTATAGTCTTTTAATTGTTCGGCTAATGTTTGCGCTTCGCGCGCAATATCGGGAGTTTTGGTTTCAGTTTCATATATAGTAATTAAAGCATCATGTACGCTGCTTATTTGGTATCGGATGGCTTTGAGGCTCTCAATTTTGGCTTCCGAACAAGTGTCGCATAATCGTTTAAGAGTAAAGTTTGTTGTATGACTAAGTAAAGCATTCCATTTCCAAGTTGATGCAGAAAATAATGTGAATAATCTTTGTATTATGCCAAAAACGTTAATGGAGTTTAGTGAAAACTGCGCTGAGTCACAAATAACCAAATTGAGAGAATGACTTCCACATGGAAGGTAAAAAGCCAAAGGATTCAAATCTAATATTCGCTTTTGTAGACCTATTTTTTTACCTTTCATATTTGCACCGTTATCTTAACCTTGCTCTCGACAAAAGCTTATATTCAGTCCAAAATCTTTTAAAGCTCCAATTATGATTTCTGTTAAACCAAGACCTGTCGTGTCGTTAACATTGAAAAACCCTAGAAAGTGTTCATTTATTTTTATAGGATATTCTGATATATTTACAATTCTAATCGTAAGCGAGAGCTGTTCTTTGTGAGATACGTCAGGAGTGCAGTCAGCAATAATAGAATAATATGTACTTTTTAGAGCTTTGGATATAATTATGTTGGTTACTTTTCATGCCATTATGTCTATCATTTCATTTTTAATGGTTTTTCCACAGTAATGATCAGAAATATCTCCTTTAAGAGCTAGCGTGACGTGGTTTAACATGATAGGATCAAATTTAGCGAGTAATTGTACCATTCCTAAAAATTTGCCGTTATTAACTGCATACAATTTATCAGAAGAACCTCTGAAGGCCATATCATTTGTTGCCAAGTATAAAGTAATGTTCATCAATCGTTCAAGAACACTTCGCCACCTTTTCGATTAGTTTTTGTTCTTGTTTATCAATAGTTTCACCAGCTTTCATTCGTATTTCTGTCTCAATCCATTGTTGATAAGCAATTCTGTGTGACTTACTATTTTCGTGAATTTTTAATGCTTCTGTTAAATTCTTCCATTTATTGAATCCATTTCCATTTAACTTTAAATTCATGTTGAAATCAAAAAGTTTGCAGCAAAAACAAAATACCGCATCTTTAGAAACTGAGTACACAAGCCAACGTCGTGAAATAACCTCACCATTTGAAAGTTTTCGGTTGTAATAAGCATTTGAAAAATGTCGTCTTCTATTATCGCGTGGATATGTGTCCAAATTCACTTGTATTGCACCTATATTAATTACATAATCAACAAATTGAATGTTGCGATGAATTGGCCACAAACCACAGTCTAAGTAATCGATTGCTGTTTCTTTGGTGCGATCATTTACATCACCATCTTGGCCATTATCATTTTCGTTATCGATATCTTTTTCATCGTAGTGAACATTTCCAACTGACACTATTACGTCTTCTTCGTCGCTGGTTGATGTATCACTAAGTACATGCGCAACATTTTCTCCTTCCTTCATTTTATTACAATCACTATTTTCCGATGTAAAAAAATTTTCAAGTTTTTTATAATTTTTCTTCAAATTATCAACTTTTTCTGCTTTACGTTTTCTGTATTGAGCACCAGATGGTTTCTTATTATTATGAGTTTTAAAAACATTTTTTTCTTTATTATGAGTACTCTCCATTGATTGCTGCTGACAGTTTCTATTTGTCTAAAATTTTAAAATAAAAAATTACTCGCAAGCTAATAATTCATAAACAATTTCATTATTTATACTTACCTGCTTTTTATTACCGCAAAATTTGAAAACTTGACAAAAACTGAATTTGAATCACAAATACAATTTAAATTTTTTCTATAAATTAATACACGACGCGCTCGCAACTCGTACCGAAAATAATGTTTAAAATTTAAACTTTAAATATATGGGACGCAAATTAATTGGCGCCGAGAAAGATACAATTAAAAAAATGATTTTATATATATAAGTTACATATACAGTGATAATATAAGTTACATATACAGTGCTCGAAGTGGGACATGATGCCATCGCTTTTTTTTAAAGTATAAACCATTCGGGCACCTTTTTTAAAATCTCTGAATATAAAATCTTTTTTTTTTATCTTTTTTTCTCTACTTTAAGCACTGTATATATATATATATACTTTTTGTATATATATATATATATATATATATATATATATATATATATATATATATATATATATATATATATATATATATATATATATATATATATATATATATATTAGGGTGTCCCAAAAAAAAAAAATTTCTGATTTTTTTGATGCAGTCCCTCTTAAAAGTTTCTTTGCAGTCTCTGAACAACCCATAATTTTTTTTATTACATTTGAAAAATATTTAAAGGTCCCCCAAGGGTCATAAAGTTTTACCAATGTCGTGGAATTTTCGTTAATGGCGTTTGACGGCTCGACATCATCGAGTTTACAGAATACAGATCACATGTCTAATCGATCATAAAAATATAGTAAAAATGATTAGTTCCTGGTAGAGTTTAGAATAAAATTGGTTTATAGCTTATCTTTATATGATTTCAAGCACAAGCAAAGCCAATTTTAACTTTAAATATTTTAACACTTAGCGATAGAAAACGTAACTTTTTTATGCTCGTTTGAACACAATTAAAGACTATAATTTATTATATAAAATGGCAACAAGGTTTCGATTGTTCGTTTTAAAATATGATAAATAACTTCTAAAATCTTAATGTCCACAAGATTGTCACGATTGCATTTGGAAAAGTCTTGTCTGTGTTTTTCAACAACCTGAAGTAGAAATTGTTTCTGTCCTTCATTCTTTGTTATTGCTGCATAAAAATTTTGGATGATAGCAACGCCCCGCTCAGCACAATCATTAACACATGGCAAGTTATTGACAAGTTGGCGTCCCATCTGATAGGAATGGTTTTTGTGCCACTCTTCCACTGGAATATCGAGGAAGCTATCATCAATGGCAGTAACTAGAAAGAAACTTCGAGAAATGAGTAATTCCGCTGTTGTTTTTGGAAGAGACTTGAGCGAATGCGATCCTCAATCACTCTCAAAAAGACATATGCTGAGAGAACAAGGAAACTGTTGCTAGCTCTTGGCTGAGGCACCAGGAGTGACGCTTCATCATCTTCAACCCTTTTTTCTGCAAAGCAGCATCTTCATACGTAGGCAGCCTTTGAATCAATAGAATGTCATTCAATGGTACATCAGCAATGGCTCAACTTGAAAACCAAAATTGAATGTAGACATTGACAACAAATCTATTAAATCTCGGAATGCCCTGTAATTCATGAGCAGTCAACTGTATAACAGCTTCATTACAATCAAAAAGCAATTTTATCTTCATTGCATAAATCGCCTTGGCCATCCAACGTGCTCTGTGAACGGCACCAGGCTTGCGAACTGGTGATGCCTCAGCGCATTTTAAACCAATCATAAAAGCCGCGAGTTGGAGAAATTTTCGATAGTCATCTCGTGGATGGCTGAGTTGAAGATGCTCAGCAATTAACTCCTTTAGATTGTCACTTGCACTCACCAATGGCACTGGTCGTGGCATAGGCTGACGGTGGACCAACTCTGACCATTTCTCTCGGAATTTTTTAAAAATCAAAATATTTGGTCCAGTTGACGGACCTAGACACACTCCATATGCATCAGACAACAACACCTCAAACATGTAGTGGCAACATGTCATTCATAGCAGATTGCGATTGAGAGCCTTCACCATAAGAGTGCAGACTCCACTCAGTCTGCCGGTATTTGAGGCTGTTGTATTAAAGCACATTCCAATGACTTGTTGATCGCACTGCCATGATTTGAGTTGATCAAAAACTGCCTCCGATCCCACTTATACTGTTCCAGAAGTCAATTTTGGTACTCCCAGCAATTTAATAACAGTTCCATCAACAAGTGAAGAAACAAGAACTACCAATCTATCAACTTGATTGGTGTCTACTCCAGTGATGTCAGGTAGTAGTTTGCCATCCCAATGAACGACGGACTTACTAGGTAGAAAGTCATCCTTGATCTTCTGTGCAGCTTCACAACGAAAAAGCTGTCGTTGCCGATGAACTGTACTTTTTGAAAGAACAACAGATGTCGTAGAGCATTCAATTTCATTAACCATTGATGTAATTATCATTGTTGATTTACGAATGCTGATGTTTGTGCGGCCTAATACAGCAGCCACTTTTGAAGTCATCACACCAGCACACTTGGGTTGCTTGGTCGGTCTATCATTAGGTGGAGACTTTACAACAAAGTCATCCATAGATTCTTCATCATCTGAGGAGCACAACTTCGATGGTTCTGCTGTTTCCTCATCTTCATCTTCAGTTTCCACATCTGCCTGCATTTATTGCTGGCCTGCTGAAGCTGCTCTTTGCTGGAGTACTAATCGTTCTTTACGTTTTGCTGAACACTTATCGCTGAAAAAACATTTTATTGTCCACAGATCCAATACATCTGGTTCTAGATTCTTTCTGCAACTTTAGAAACTGTCGGTCTTCCTCATTCTTGATAAGATTGTCAGAATCAGCATGACTGATATCAAACAAAATATCCAGCTTTTCATTGTATTCTTTTTGGTTCTGTTGATCCTTAGCATTATTCCTTGAACGATGTTTCATTAGTCCAACATGCTGTGAGTAAAGATTTTTAATCTTTTGAACAATATCTGGTTTGTGTCGGACCGGTAATCTTGATTTCATCCAGAAGGGCAGTAATTGGTCGTGTACTTACTGTGCACTCTGAGCAACTGTCAGTTTCTGCTTCCTCTGGAAATAAACAAAATTCTGCATAACATCACGACCTGAAGGAAGGCGAGCTCCAGTTATTATGTCACATGGATGATCAACCAGATCATGTCGGTACTTCGAGTTGTGTTAGGTTTACACTGTGCCATTGCTCCACAGTCTTTATTCTACAATAAAAGTAAAAAACTTGTAAAAAATAAATATACAAGATATCTAAAAAATCTGTTTTTAATCATTTTTGTTAAATTTCTGCTTAAAACACTTGTCACTTGTAGAATACAATCTTTGCTAGTATTTTGTTTAACATGTATAGCTATTTGAACAGTGCCAAATTAGTTTTAATTGAATAAAAGGCGGGGGTGGATTTTAGAAAAAATCCCCCATTTATACAAAAATTCTAGACCCTTAAGGGACCCCTAAATATTTTTCAATTGTCATAAAAAAATTTAGTTGTTGTTGTGGGACCATTAAAAAATTTTTAAGAGGGACTGCATCAAAATTATCCACAAAAAATTTTATCAGTGATAAACATGGGACACCTTAATATATATATATATATATATATATATATATATATATATATATATATATATATATATATAATATATATATATATATATATATATATATATATATATACATATATATATATATATATATATATATATATATACATATATACACATATATATATATATACACATATATATATATATATATATATATATATATATATATATATATATATATATATATATATATATATATATATATATATACATGTATATATATATATATATATATATATATATATATATATATATATATATATATATATATATATATATATATATATATATATATATATATATATATATATATATATATACATACATACATGGATTTTTTTGTTTCATTTTGTCCCAAACAAAATTCATGATTTTGAATTTTGAAAAAAAAAGCAGACAACGAAAACCATATTGTTTGATACTAATACAATAATATATATAGTTTATTATATATAGCAATATTAATATTTATAGCTTCAGCAGATTGTTCAATATCCTCTCATTTTAGTATGTGATCAAATCCAATCTATGCAAATATATAGGATCTAGTATAGATTGCCAGGAGAATCTGCACTTGTAGAGCGTATTTTTTTAATCATAAAAATTTAAATCAAAAAGATTTTGAATGTAAATAAAATTATAAAGAACTAATTTGATTTCTAAAGGAGCTATACCTTCCAAAAAATCATGCATGATGTCTCCAGTATCATTTTTAGCCGGATGATAGTACTTAAGTTCTTTCAAAATACTTACAATTTTAATTCCAAACTCAGCTTTATAAACTTGCTGTGCTGCTAGCTTGTTAACAATTGCCTCAAATTGTGCTGCAGTTCGTTGAAGCTTTGGAATTTCTGTAAAACTGCTTTGCATTGTTTTTTTGTCAGCTGTGCATAGATCACAACAAAAGTCACTATTAAAAGACTCTACAAAGCCTAAATAAGTATGAAGTCCAGAGTTTTCCCTGGACTTCATACTTATTTAGGCTTTACATAATTTGACCAAGAATGCATCGCACATGTCTTGAAGTAGCTTCACCCTGAACTTTAACTTGAAATCCATCCTTCATACACTTTAAATCATCAACAATTGCTCTTAAAACTGCATTAATGCCATATTTTTTTATATGTCAGTGCAACTAAATGTACATTTGCTAAATTAAAA